GAAGTTAGAGTCCTGGTCCTGCTCAATCACAGTAGGTGGTCCAGCCCAGGTCAGCCATCCAAGCTCGAAAGCTTTCTTAGCCAACTCTGCTGTCGGTCGTGACCCAGGACACGTATAGATAGCCACTGTAACATCCGACGCAATGTCCACGGTCACAAGCACCACGTGCATATTCTTGTCCATGTCAGGCATGATCATCAAATCCATGCCAATGGCCTCATTCAAGTCTCTAACATTAGGCTGAGCTGCTGTGGGTCTTGCTGCCGTCCGAGCCTGCTCCTCACACGTTGTGCATCTGAAGAATCGTGCTGCCTGCACCGCTCGTCGACTAGCTCCACCGTGCTGCAAGTATCGTACCAATGATTCCTTGTAGGGTCCGTGTGAATGGCTCTCATGTATCTTCTTGATAGCTGCTCTCATAAGTGGTGGTACCGCCTTCCACTCCGCCATCTCGATGTTGTCGCCGTGCTTGCTGAAGATCGTCGCTGCACTCGCGTGCATTGGTGCCTCCACCTCTGCAGGATTGGCCTCGATCTCGTTAAGCTCGATGTCCTCGAAGTTGTTGGCGTACCTGGCATACCCACCGTGCTGCTTCTCGGGGTCCCGATGACTCTCACTGCCGTCCATGATCGTCTTCGCAAGGTTCGCCGTCCAGTTGCCAAGACTTGATGCTGTTCCCTTCGGCCTGTTCATCACGCTCGTATGTTCGTGCGTGTTGTCGCACCTGATGCTGTTCAGCTTGGCGCCTAGCATGATGGCCGTAGTCAGGAACCGCGTCGGCTTCTTGATGGGGTCGTCCAGGAAGTCCACCAGGTTTCTGCCTTCGGCGCACTGGTGCGTCATCGCGGCCACAAACTCTGAGCCTAGCCACAGCATGAGCTTCCACGCCTTGGACGTCAGTGGGTTCTCAAGTAGCATGTGAGCTCTTCGACGTTTACAGTTGAGCCAGATCTGCTTGACAAACCGCAGGTGCTTCATACCAGTTGCTAGCTTCATCATCCTCGTCTTCTGCGGAAGCATGTGCGATATGTTCGTGAACGGATCGCAGGGGAAACCCACGATAGTCATGTATGGATCGTCCTCGTCCAACTCGTCCCCTATCAGGATGTTCCTTGGTCCCGTAGTAGGGTGTCGCCGCTGCTGAGCTTCCGATGTGGCCGCCATGCTACCAGCATAGAGCTCACATATGATAGGCCGCTTCTCTTCCGGGTCCGCCTTTCGCGTCTCCACGACCTGCTGGCACTGGTCCAGCTTGTCCTGCAACTCCTTGTCCCACGTCTCGATCTGCTTCCTCTGCTTTCGTCGTAGGATGCCTTTGTCCATCTCTTGCACCTCCGCTGTCCAGACGTCGATCTCATCCGTCGTAACTGATGGTACCGTCTTGGTCGTTTCTCTCTTCGGCCAGTCCTTGAGTGAGATCGTAAGGTGCCCCTTCTCGGTCTTGTTGAGTGGCACCCCGTACTTGTTGATCGCCTTGAAGTCCGCCTTCCGCTCTTTCACGTACAGCACTGTGTCTAGCTCCTCCAGCTGGTGGATGCTGAGCAGTATCGGCGTCTTCGATTTCGGCAGCCTCTGGAACCGTAGATTCACGTCGGCTCCTGCAAGTCCAGCTGTCACCTCCTGGTCGCCTTCTGCCATCACCAGGGCGCTATCATTCACGCCTCGGAAGCGCATGGATGAGCCCCTCATCCTCGTGGTGACCCTGCTGTCCTCAGCGTAGCCGTCCAACGCGAGTGAGCCTCCACATCCACGTAGGCACGCCGTGTCAAGTACAGCATGTCCATCTGGAATAGGTTCTTTCCTTATCGCGTAGGCCTCGGTCTCCTCCAGCTCCTCGTCGTCCACCTGCAAGCCAGATGATGGTGTCCGATTCTCTGTGGGCCTGTAGTCTGTGCCCGCTCTGCGTTCCGTCCACAACCATGTCGGTCGCACTCCATGAGGTAGGTGTTCGCAGGTGTTCTTGACGATGTCTCGTAGTTCTGAGGTGCTGTCCCAGGATGCTTGGCATATATCGTACGCCAGGTTCCCGAGCCCCTGTGGTGCCATCTCCATCCAATCCATGTAATCCCTGTAGGCTGCTTCCATGTTCTCACAGCTGACCCATAGAGCTGCGATCTGTGCTGCTCGATCTTTGATCTTCTGTAGGTCTGCTGCTGTGTTATCTTCTGAATATTCGGTGCTTGATCTGCTGGGCCCTGTCTGCCATGATCCAGATCCTGGCGTTTGGTCCTCAGTGCCCTCGGATTCTCGTGTTCCTTGGTCGTCTCCAAGCGCTGATACAGTCCAGGTGTCCACGATCTGCTCGTCGGTTTCGATCCTCACCTTCGTCAGACTCGTGATCTCCTCAATCGTAGTCTCCATGTTCGCCAGCTGATCATTCACGATCTGGATAGCAGTCATGTCCATTGAGCTGTCCGCCATCAGTAGCTTCACTGCCGTTGCCATCGCAAACCCAGCACGTCGTAGAAAATTTCCAGGTCGCCCGTGAAAGCCTCGGCCACCACCTCGTCCTCCACGCTGTAGGCTGCTCGATGATCCGCCACCTGATGGCCTTGTCTTTTCGCATTCCGGGTCTCCTTTCCAGTGACCCTTCTTATGGCACGCATTGCACTTCGTGCGCGCCTTGATCTTCTTTAGCTTCTCTTCGGCTTCCTTGCCATCCATCTTGATGGATCCTTGCTTGTTGATGTTGGCCTTCCAGCCTCGATTGGTCTTGCTCTGTGCAAACCTCTCCTGGGCTTGCTTGTAGTTGTGCTTGTGACCTTTCCGTCCAACCTTCCACCCGAGACGCTGCCTCAGCTGCTAGAGTGTCGCACTCCTCCTGGCTGATCTCCTCGGGGTCGACGTCGTCAATCACCCCCTTGAACTCGTCGATGTCGACTGCCAGCGCGTCGTAATCTTCATCGCTCAGAAGACCATCCTCGCCGCACACGCCACACTCGTATCCTAATAGGGCTTCCTCCTCGTCATCGTCGTAGTCCGCCGGGTATGCTCCATAACGTCCGTGGCCACGTTCGTCTCTGCACGTCGTGTCCAGTTGGATGAGCATCGCCGCCGTCACGTCATCCCATATGTATTCGTTGTTGCATTGCCGGAGAATAGCCTTGTGCTCGGTCATGCTGATATTGGCCAACTTCAGTAGGAAGTACGTCCGTAGGTCTTCTCTCACAGTCGTGTTTGCTGAGAGAGACTTGAGCTGCTCATACTCCGTCTCCCGCCTTGAGATGTAGTCCTGCACAGACTCCGACCTGCTGCGAAAACCCTTGAAGAAATACTCCTCGAAAGCTTGCTGCTTCTGTTGTGGGGTAATCCGCTCACACGCCTGTCGTACTGTTGCGGCCACCAGCTTCACTGCAGCAAGTGGGTCTTCACCTGCTTGGTCCAACACTGCTTGCGTTGCAATCTCGTTCCTCTTCCTGGTGAGGTTCCACGCTCGCCCATTCAAGGAATTCTTGAGCTTGATGGCGTAGAGCGTCTGCAGCTTCTCTTCGCTCGCGTGGTAGCCGAGGATCGCCCGCTCTTCGAACTCCTCGCCGTAGCCTGGGTCGCCGTTCTAGTGTACGACGCCCTCTTTGTCCACGAAGAGGGGTCCGTCGTTGGATTGTTGCTGCCTGGTCGCCATCTTGTCTGTAGTAATGATGTTGCCGTCTCTGTTGACAGTCTCGCCGTCTCTGAAGATGGCGTCGCCGTCTCTGAAGATGGCGTCTCCGTCCAGCTCGTAGTAGATGTCGTTCTCCCTGCTGCTGTCTGGGTCGTGGCAACGATTCTCGGCCAGGCTGCAGGTGAGGATGCTCAGCGTATTGACCGCTGGAGAGAGTGCGCAGTGGTAAAGCGCTACGAAGGTCTTGAGCGCCAGCATATATCTGCACGGTCACTCACAATATGAATCTCGCAACCGTAAAACTGATCCAGCTCCTTCGCTACCAGTGTACATATAGATCACACAATCACTCCCACCAAGCACTTGATGCAAACACAAGGTAAGAGAAACAAGATCTGTTTATCTCCGTACTCAGGCCAGTCCGTGAGTAGGTGCGTCCACCCTCCCGCCCAGCTTATGAGCCACAACGGCAATGGGCGGAAGGGCAAGATAATTCATTATCACCCTAACTCTCACATCCTCGCCAATACAATTTTCATAAGGAGGAGGAGGAGGAGGAGGAGGAGGAGGAGGAGGAGGAGGAGGAGGAGGAGGGGGAGTAGGAATGGGAAGGGGAGGAGGAGGAGGAGGAGGAGGAGGAGGAGGAGGAGGAGGAGGAAGAGGAGGGGAGAAGGAGGAGGAACCAGGAGGAGGAGGAGGAGGGAGGAGGAGAGGAGGAGAGGAGGAGGAGGAGGAGGAAAAGGACGAGGAGTAGGAGCAGGAGGAGGAGCATGAGGAGGAGGAGGCGGAGGAGGAGGGAGTAGGAGGAGGATGTGGATGAGGAGGAGTTGGAGTAGGAGGAGGAATAGAAGGAGGAGGAGGAGGAGGAGGAAAATTAGAAGGAGGAAGAGGAGGAGGGGGCAGGGCAGAAGGCCAAAGGAGGGTGTCCGCCAGGGCGAAGAGGAAAGGGCTGAGGGCGAGCTAGTCGGATTCTCATGTGGGGTCTCCGTCGTAGTAATCATACAATTTGTCGTTCCCTAAGCCTCACCGTGCCAGCGCAGGTGACGAACCAGGGCGCGGGCCGAGACCGCCACCCGAAAGCGCGCATGCGCGCGTGCCCGTGAGCCGCTGGCGCGCCCGCTCTCGCGAGCCAGAATGGAATCTGACGGTGATTGTAGTGTCTCCTCCTCCCCCTCCTCCTCCTCCTCCTCCTCCTCCTCCTCCTCCTCCATCGCGGCAGTGATGGTGATGGTGTTAGTCCTCTAATGGTTGTGGTGGTGATGACAGTGCTGTTGCTGAAGATGAGATGATGCGGTGATGTGGCGATGTGATGCTGATGATGGTGGTGGCGACGGTGCTGGTTACGAGGGCGTGTCTGGGCCATCTCTGTCTTTTTTCTTCGTTCTATTGCGGTGGCCAGGCATTTTTCTTGTTCGTGGGCTACGCCTTCCTGGTGTCGGGCATGTATGTGTTCAAGCTCGCTTTCGGTCATGCTTTTATTGATGCTTATCTCTCTCTCTCTCTTTTCCATTTCTCCCTCTTTCTCCCTCCACTCTCTCTCGCTCTTTCTCCCTCTTTCTCCCTCTTTTTCATTGTTTTTCCCTTTTTCGTTGGAGGAGGATATCTTGATCTTGGGTTGTGGCTTCGTTGGCTTTGGAACTCTCAGGTCCATGGATTTTGTCCCCAGCGCTTCTACGTTGGCTCCTCGTTTCGAATAGAATCGGAGGTCGCCACCAGCACCGACACCAGCGGTTGACCCCGCCGACGGAAGATGATCCCGTTCCCAGTGATGGCTGTAGTGCTCGGGCCTCCCTTACCGGCTGAAATATTGCCACCAACACCAGGATCTAGGACCACCTTCCCCGCTCGAGGCAACCCTCTGCTGGTGCTGGTGCCACCGTCCAAGCCTCCAATAGGGCACCGCTGCCTCCTTTTCCTTCTTCCGACCGCCCCCCTCCCTCCCTCCTGCCTCCCTCCCTCCTGCTCCCTCCTGCCTCCCTCCCTCTCCCTCGCCTTCCGACCGCCTCCCTCCTTCTCCCACCTGCCTCCTACCCCCGACCTGCCTCCCTGCCTTGCCCCCCCGCCTCCCCGCCTCCCCGCAGCTGGGGCTGCCAGCTGCGCAGCCGGCGCCGCCGTCGTGTGGGCCCCCCGGGGGGTGCCCGGCGGAGCGGTGGCTTGCGTGGGCCTCGCCCCCCCGCTGGGCTCGGCCAGCTGCGCAGCCGTCGCCACTCTCGTGAGGCCCCGCGAGGTCCAGTAGAGTGGTCGTCATCACACGCCTCCTCCACCTCCTCCTCCTCCTCCTCCTCCTCCTCCTCCTCCTCCTCCTCCCACTCCTCCTCCTCCTCCGCCTCCTCCTCCTTCTCCTCCGCCTCCTCCTCCTCCGCCTCCTCCTCCTCCGCCTCCTCCTCCGCCTCCTCCTCCGTGTCCGCCTTCTCCTCCTCCTCCGCCTCCTCCTCCGCCTCCGCCTCCTCGTTCTACGCGGATCGAAGTATGACATCGATCTCCCTCGGGGCTTCCATCTTCGGAGGGGGCGCCGCTTTCGCAGGCCTTTTGGGGGTCCAGCGGAGTGGTGTTGTGTCCCACGCGGATCCAAATGGGACCTTGCCCTTCTTGGGGGCTGCCAGCTGTGAAAGTGTCGCCACTTTCGTGACCCCTGCGAGGTCCAACGGAGCTGCTACCTGCCCAACTGTCGCCACTTCCATGGTTTCTGGGGAGGCTCCGCGGTGAGGTACTGCCTCACAAAGATGTCTCATGAGGCATGCAACGCTTAGGCCCCGAGCTAGTGTTCACAACGAGTCGCCTTCTTTGTTATGCCATGATGCGTTTAACATGGGCTCATTGCTACGGCCACTTGTTGCAGGTGGATTGGCTATGTCGCCTAGTGATGTTCGGGTAGGCTCTGTGGCTTCCTTGTTATCCGAAACCAGGGGTGAAACGTGTCACCCACTCTTTGGGAAGAGCAGACAGAGTGTTGTGACGTCTGGCTGGCCCTGTACATTTCCATCTTCCCCGTAAGGTTTTCATGATTGGCTTGGCTCAGAGCGTCCTTGGGTATGCTGTGGAATTGCGGTGGCCTTGAATTTGAGTGTTCACGAGTGCTTTGTTAGGGAGCTCCACCGAAAGCAGTGCCACAAGGCGGTATCCACAACTGCATATGGTTGGGTCCTTCGCCAGAGGGGCCCTTCCCAGGGTTCGCACCCTGTTTTTTACCAGGGAAAGTCTGGTGCCACCAAACGTTATTGCTGGGCCCCAGTTTACAACAACAGCAACAGCGGTTCCCGCCTGACTTGTCCTCAGAATTTGTAATACAATCGCGATCTCGCGCGGGACTACCTGACAATTAATGCAGGCATCGTGCTTTCGCGTGGGACTTCGTCGAAAGTTATTCAGATGCCGCGCCCTCGGCGTTCAGGACTCGCCCTCTCGTTGTGGCTTTTCTTGCGATTTGCCTGGGAATGGCGCTATCGCTCGAGACTTCCTCGCGATTCATGCAGGACGCACGCTTCAGCAACCCGCCTGCTCGACCTGGCCCACTGTGCCCGCCTTCCCGACCCGCCCGCCAGGGTCTACCCGCCCGATCTGCCCGGCCGCTTCTGCCACGTGTTTTCTTCTCCTAGCCCCCCTCCTGCTAATATTTATCTTGCTCCATCCTTCTCCCTTCCCCACTTCCATCCGTCCTCCCTTCCCTTGTTTCAGGGGCTGCGCAAATTACCCGTGGCAGGTAAAGGGTTTGGGATATGCGTGTTGATGAATGGCACGCGGGCAGGTAAGATCGGACAGGCTTCAAATGATACAATTTTCACCTTCATTTCTGAAGAATATGTATGGTGTGCCCCCCAGTGACCAGTGTGTTTTCAACTGCAGTGCTCCTCCCAGAGCTCGCACGTTTTTTTTTTTAGCAGGGAAGAGTTGGGGTCAATAAGCCGTCTCGTTGGCCCCCGGGTTACAATAACCACGGTTCCCTTCGAATGTTTCCTCGCAGTTTATTCCAACATCGCGCCCTCGTACGGGACTTCCTCACAACTTATGCAGGATTCGCGCTCTCGCATTCAAACGCCGCGCCCTTGACACTCAGGGATCATGCTTTCGGTTTTGCTTTTTCTGGCGATTCACTTGGGAATCGCGCTATCGCCCGAGACCTCCCCTCGGGATTCATTCAGTACCCCGCTTCAGCAACCCGCCTTCTCGACCTGGCCGCTTGGGCCCGCCTTCCCGACCCGCCCGCTGGGGTCTACCCGCCCGATGGGCCCGTCTGGTTCCGCCACGTGTTTTCTGCTCCTAGCCCCCCTCGTGCTAATTCCGTGCTCCATTTTTCTCCCTCCCTCTTCCATCCGTCTTTGCTCCTCCTGTTTTAGGGGCTGCACCAATCACACGCGGCAGGCACGGAAGACATACCCCCAGGGGGGTACGGTCAAAGACGGAAAGGGCGGGTACCGAGGGCTTTGCATATATGTGTTGAATGGCACGCGAGCAGGTACGAGCGACCAGTCCTAAACTGTTGGTTTGTTGTGTTTTTTTGTTGTAGTGGTTGTTGTTGTTGTTGTTGTTGTTGTTGTTGTTGTTGTTGTTGTTGTTGTTGATGTTGTTGTTGTTGTTGTTGATGATGTTGTGGTTGAACACTATTACTTCTAAAGAATTATTATTGTTGGACCCCCTGGTGCACGCCCCCCGCCCAAAACCTAGGCCGCAGCTACATTTTCATCATTTTTCTGCGAAAGCTTCAGAAAAGTGGATTACCCCCGGATCCGGTTTTTTGTTGACGCTCGTTTTCCCTTGCAAAAAACAATAGAAAATGAAAATTCTTGTTCTTAGTTGATCAAATTTCAAGAATCCCTTGCAAAAAATAAGGTAAAGTGGACATTCGCGCTCGCAAGACGAAATCCTTCCAAAACCTTAGGTTTCGTAACGATTTTAACATAAAAACATCAAAAACCCAATGGTTTTTTAAGAAAAAATTGTCAAAATGTCCTTCCGCGCGCTCTTGCGGATTCATAGGAAACACACCACTTTTTAAACATTTCTGTCAAAAGGGTCTTTGCGTGCTACTTCTTCAGGTGCTTTGAACTTCTCCAACAACGGTTGCGCGCCTGCGAGGGCCACCATCCCTTGCAAAAAATGAGACGAAGTGCACATGCGCGCGGCCGCCGCGCGCGCATGTCGAAATCCTGCCAAACACAATGGGTTTTCAATAATTTCAAGATGCGATGTTCAGAAAACACACGGGTATCAGCTAGGCCCGCACGGGTATCAGCCAGGCAGCCGGGCACCCACGCGCCCGCTCCGCGCCATCGCAGACGACGATGCGTCGCGCCTTTAGTATGCTTCTGGATGCGAAGACCATTCGGTTGAGTATACCCCTACGTGTGACTGGACCTGTTTGCGAAAGCAGGAGAAAGTATGGCACCCCTTTGTGTCCAGAGCCGCGCCGTCTGCGTTCTTCCTTTCTCGCTTCTCTCCTTTCCTCCTTGTCCTGCTCCTCCTCCCCCTCTTCCGCCTTGGAGCCGTATTGGAACTGTCGATGGCCATCTCCCTTTCTCCCTCGCATGTCTGCTTGTACATACGTATAATTTCAGAACTTACCGTGCATGCGATCGTTTACAACATGGTGGACCGTGCGTATGTCACGAACCTTGTATACATGTGTTTCTCTCCCTCCGTCTGGCTGTGCACGCGCGCGTTGGGCACTGAGAGTTAGGATCATAGCGCCATGAGTCTATGAGCAATGCATGCGTCATCCTTGGGACTGTATAACATCAGTGTAACACATGTACTTCTGTAATCGCATCCCCACGAATTTGCCCCAAAAATGTGACCAACTATCTTGGCACTGCGTACCATCTCACGTGTACCGTGTACCACATCATATGTAACAGATGTGATCAACCTCTGTGGGTGTGTACCCCACGCCAGTGTAGTAGCCAGGGTCGTCCGCACGCCACGAAGTGAAGTGTCCCAACGTCATAGGGCGGGAAGCTGGGTGTGGGTGGTCTCGAAGAGTCGTTTGGATATTTGGTAGAGCTTGAACGGCCCCCCCACGAAGTGGGGGTATTGGCTGGTGTCGCAAGAAAACCCTGGCACTGGGGAGAACACTGAGCGTTCGGGTAAAATGATTGTTGTTGTTGTTGTTGTTGTTGTTGTTGTTGTTGTTGTTCAACTCTCGTTTCTGAAGAACTATTATTGTTGATCCATCCCCCCCGTTCGGTGCACATTATTTTTTCGATAGAAGTGCCCTTCCCAGGGCTCGCACCCTGTTTTTTATCAGGGAAAGTCTTGAGGGTCAAACTGTGTCGTCGGCCCCCGGTTTACAACAACAGCGGCTCCCGCCTGAGACTTCCTCACAATTTAGCCAGGACCCCCGCTCCCGCCCGAGACTTCCTTGCGTTTTATTCCCTACCTAGGCTCTGCCTAGAAGGGTTCTTACTCGCTTGGCTTAAAGGGGCCGGGCAGTGGAATGCGCCCCGGGCGGTTCCCCCAGTCCCCTGGGAGC